CCCCACCTGATCCATCTGACCCCCCTGATCCATCTGACCCCCCTGCCCTGTCTGACCCCCCTGATCCCTCTGACCCCCCTGATCCGTCTGACCCCCTGATCCGTCTGACCCCCCTGCCCTGTTTGACCCCCCTGCCCTGTCTGACCCCTCTGATCCATCTGACCCCCCTGCCCCGGGTGTGAGGGGGGAGAGAGGGAAACTGGGGAGAGGGGTCGAGGAATTTCAGGGAATCACAGGGAAGGAAGGGACCTTCGGAATCATCCAGTGCCATCAGGGACACCTCCCACCATCCCAGGGGGATCCGACCTGGCCCGGGACACTCCCAGGGATGGGGCAGCCACAGCTCCTCTGGGAATTCCATCCCTCCCCACCCTCCCAGCCAGGAATCCCTTCCCACTATCCCACCTAACCCTGGGAAGCCATTCCCTGGGTGCTGTCCCTCCAGCCCTTGGCCCCAGTCCCTCTCCAGCTCTCCTGGAGCCCCTTCAGGCCCTGGAAGGGGCTCCAAGGTCTCCCTGGATCCTTCCCTTCTCCAGGGGAACATTCCCAGCTCTCCCAGCCTGGCTCCAGAGCAGAGGGGCCCCAGCCCCAGGAGCAGCTCCGTGTCCCCTCTGGACTCTCTGGGGTCCTTCAGGAATGTCAGACCCCAGAGCTGCAGGGGGGTGTCTGTCTCACCCCAGCTGGGCAGAATTCCCCCTTTCCTGGCCTTTCCAACCTACAAAAACACCTTGTCAGGGCAAACACGGAGCAATCCCGAATCCCAGAGCTCCCTCGGGCCGGATTCCCCGGGATTCCAAGCGCTTCCCTGTCCCTGCAGCCGACGCAGAGGGCAAACAATCCAAGTGCTGCCTTCCCGAGCTGGTCACCCCCCTAAAGGACACGAGTTGCTCCCACACGCCCCAGGCTGAGCCAGAACGTTCCTAAAAGCCCCAGGGGCACCAGGAATTCCAGGCCTGGAGCTGGGAAGGAGCCTCTCATCCAGGGAAACGCTCCCGAGGATCCGACAGGTTTGAATTCCCGGCAATTCCCGGGGAAAGGGCCCGGCAGGCTCTGGCTGAGCTGAGCCAGCCCTGCAGGAGCAGGATGGGAAGCACACAAGGAACCTGCTGGAATTCCATGGCATTAACGGCCACTCCCTGCTGGAAGGGACCTCTGGGACCTGCAGGACCTTTGGGTGGGAAGGGACCTGAATTCCCAGCCATTCCCACGGGCAGGGACACCTCCTGATATCCCAGCCTGCTCCAACCTGGCCTTGGGCACTCCCAGGGATGGGGCAGCCACAGATTCCCCTGGAATTCCATCCCAGCCCCTCCCCACCCTCCCAGGGAAGGATTCCTCCCCAATATCCCACCTGTACCTCAGTCTTCCACCCATTACTCCAACAGTTCCTCCCACTTGAGAGCAGGGAGCTTGTTGCTAATTCCATTTAATTATTTTCACCTCTGTCATTCCGTTAAAAACCCCCGGAGCTGCTGCTCCTCAGGCTGGAATCACTTCCCACATCCCCTCACCTTCCCTGTCCCTAAAAAAAAAGGCTGAGCTGGTTCAGCCCCTCGTCACTCAGCAGGTTTTCCATCCTTTCCGTCCTTCCTGCCTCTGTTCCCGAGGTTTGCTCCGTGACTCAGCACTTTTCCCACACACTCCCTCCCCTGGCTGTGGGCAGGGAGCTGCACTGGATGACCTCCAAAGGTCTCTTCCCACCCAAACTATTCCAGAAATCCACATTTTCCCCAGAGCCGACAGCTGACTGAGCTCTCCTACATCCAACCACCGGGAATTCCGGGCCTCCAAACCGGGAGGGACAACGGTTGGATGGACCTTGGAGCGACCTGGAAGGTGTCCCTGCCCTCTCGGGTGGCCTTGAAGGCTCCTTCCAACCCCAAACCATTCCACGATTCCGTGATTCAAAGCCATCATTCCCAGGGAATTCCACCAGCTTCCAGCTCCAGAGATTCCCTGGAGCAGCAGCACGACAGGCCCGGGCTGAAGGGCTGACCCCCAAAATCCACTTTTTTCCCTACAGAAAGGAGGATGGGTGTTGACTCTGGAGTGGTGGAGGGGAGGGAATAACCTGGAAAAACCCGGGATAACGTGGAATAACATGGAATAACCCCCCTGCAGGGGTGCAGCACGACACAAACCCTCAGGAACAGGTAAAAACTCCTCAGGAAAACCCGGGACAGAGAGGAGAGGGCGGGCCCTGGGAGAGGCTTGGGAGCATCCAGGACTGGAACCAGCAGTAATTTAATCATTTACTCGCTCATTTAATTGGGATCCTCTCCCCTCTTTACGTTCCCATTTCCCTGATGGGCTCCCAACAATCCCCAATCCCAGCATTTCACATTTCAGGAATTGCACACCCACCTCTCTTGGGTTGGTTTTGTTTCCTTTCCTGATGAACTGGGTAATTCCTGGAAGGAAGGGGGAGCTCCCAGCGCCCAGAGCACATCCCAGAGCTGCTCCCTGCACTCCATCTAGTGGTTCCCAGCCTCCTGCTAATTAATAACTGCTCCTAATGAGCAGGAACAGCCCAGGGAACACCTGGATCCTTCCGGAGGGGAATGAGCCCTGGGGGTTTCATCCCAACACATGGATCCTGGAATGCTTTGGCTGGGAAGGGACTCAAAGCCCATCCAATCCCACCCTTTTCCACGGGCAGGGACACCTCCCACTATCCCAGGTCGCTCCAACCTGTCCCTTGGACACTTCCAGGGACGGGGCAGCCACGGCTTTCCTGGGAATTCCATCCCAGCCCTTCCCTGCCCTCCCGGGGAAGAATTTCTTGACCCCTTCCCACTGCCCTGCTTCATCCAGCAAGAAGGGAAAGCTGTTGGATCCTAAGATCCAGAACCAAATTCCTTGGGAAAAGTGGCAGAGATGAAGGAGCTGGGAAGAAAATGACTTCCCTGACGTGCCGGTCACTCCACGTTCCGGGGAGTTAAATGAGGGAAAAGAGCTTTAAAATCTGATTTATAGAGGGAAATCAGGCACCCACAGCCCCAAATCCTTCCCTGGGAGGGCGGGGAGGGGCTGGGATGGAATTCCCAGGGAAGCTGTGGCCACCTCATCCCTGGAAGTGTCCAAGGCCTCGAGCCCCGAGGGGGAGGAAGAGCACCCTGGGCACCTCCACAGGTCAGGAATTGGGGTTCAGTGGGACTCAAATCCCTAGATTTGCCTCCCAACCCACCAGCAAACCCCTGGAGGGGGATGCTATCCATCAAAAATCCACCTGGGAACAGGGAAGAAGCAGCAGGAACAGGACTGGGACAGCAGAGTTATCCCAAACCACCCGAGGACGCCCCGGAGCGGCAAAAAGGACGACGGGACACGGGAGTCGGGGTCGGGCAGCAAAACAACAAATCCAGAAGGGGTAAAAAACCAAATTCCAGCCCGGGAAAGAAGCTCCTGAAACTCCCCACAGCCTTCCCAAGAGATCCCCTGGAGCAGAGAGGTCCCCAAAAACCGCTTTTATGTGATATTTGGGGGCCGACCCGGCGCACCTTTGGGCAGCGTCCAACCTTCTCCTCCCACAGAACACGACGGGGGGGGAAAAAAGGGTTAAAAACCAACGGGAATCCTCGGGAAAGCCCCGCTGGGAGCGTCCTGCCCATCCCACATACATACTGCTTCATGGCCACCAGCTTGGAGTCCATGCTCTCCTGCTTGCCCTTCATCACCTGGATGTCCGTCAGCAGCTTGGTGACGTTGTCCTGCCGCACCTTGACGTCCTCGCTCTTGACGTTGGACACCTGGGGGGGACAAGGGGACAGGTGACACCAGGCTGGGGGGGAGTGTGGATCTGCTGGAAGGCAGGAGGGGCTCTGCAGAGGGACCTGGATGGGTTGGATCCAGGGGCTGATTCCAAGGGGATGAGGGTCAACCAGGCCGAGCGCCGGGTCCTGCCCTTTGGCCACAACAACCCCTGGGGCCAGAGGGGCTGGAGAGCAGCCAGGCAGGAAGGGAGCCGGGATTTGGGATGGGCAGGGAGCTGAACAGGAGCCAGAGTGTGCCCAGGGGGACAAGAAGGCCGATGGATCCTGGCCTGGCTCAGGAACAGGGTGGCCAACAGGGCCAGGGAAGGGATTCTGCTCCTGGACTCAGCGCTGGGGAGGCCACCCCTGGAGTGCTGTGTCCAGCTCTGGGCCCTCAGCTCAGGAAGGACATGGAGGGGCTGGAGCAGGGCCAGGGGAGAGCAACGAGGCTGGGGAAGGGACTGGAGCACAATTGCCATGAGGAGAGGCTGAGGGAGCTGGGGGGGCTCAGCCTGGAGAGGAGGAGGCTCAGGGGAGACCTCCTCACTCTCTGCAACTCCCTGCCAGGAGGGGGGAGCCGGGGGGGGGGTTGGTCTCTTTTCCCAGGGAATCAGCAGTAGGACAAGAGGGCTGGGTCTGAAGCTGTGCCAGGGGAGGGGTAGGTTGGAGATTAGATGAATTTCTTTCCAGAGAGGGTGCTCAGCCCTTGGAATGGGCTGCCCAGGGAAGGGGGGGATTCTCCGTCCCTGGGGGTGTTTAAGGACAGACTGGATGTGGCATCAGTGCCATGGGCTGGGAACCACAGCGGGGTTGGATCAAGGGTTGGACTGGATGATCTCGGAGGTCCCTTCCAACCCAGCTGATTCTGGGATTCTGTGATTCTCAGGGGGGGCAGTTCCTACAATTCCTGCCCCCAAAACGGGCAGCTGAGGTGGAAAAATTGGGGGTTTTAAAATCATCTGTGGCCCCTCTCCTGCCCGGCCAAGCGGGTGCTGGCAGGGGGGGCACAGCAGTGCCCACGGGGGCTGCTTTTCTTGGGGTGTTTGGGATTTGCCAAATTCCCTCCTGAGCTACAAAAATAAATTAAAATGGAATAATAAACTAAAAAAAAATGACGGTTTTGGATCAGACACTCGGGGGAGAAGGGCCCACCCAGAGCTGTGTCCGCCAGTCAGTCACACCTCTGGAAAAATCCCATCGTTTTTGTCCCTAAAACTTTGGGAGCCACAAAGCCCAGGAGCAAATCTGGGCAGAAACCAGGAAAAAAAAAAACTCCCTTCCTTGCCGGATTTCTGCTGCCAGCACAGGGAAGCCGAGGGGGGTCAGCAATTAGCAAGGTCATTAACGGCTCTGAGGGGGAAAATTGGCCTCGGCATTCCCACCACGGGGCTTCCAGAAGCTCCCAGCACGTGATTTCATTCTCCTGGTAAAATATTCCCAGGGAAGGACACCCAGGAGGGTCCCACCGCTCCAGAAAGGCAGGAATCTGCCAGGGAAGGACATCCAGGAGGGTCCCACCGCTCCAGAAAGGCAGGAATCTGCCAGGGAAGGACATCCAGGAGGGTCCCACCGCTCCAGAAAGGCAGGAATCTGCCAGGGAAGGACACCCAGGAGGGTCCCACCGCTCCAGAAAGGCAGGAATCTGCCAGGGAAGGACACCCAGGAGGGTCCCACCGCTCCAGAAAGGCAGGAATCTGCCAGGGAAGGGTTAAAACACCTGCAGAAATCTCCAAGACCTCTCTACATCCCACGGGGGGAAACGTCCAGAGGAGCCAAATCCCTCAGGGAAAAGCGAGATGTGGGATTATTTGAGAGCCCCCTGGGATAGGAGGGGAAGGAGCTGCTCCATCTGCACGTTCCTGGGATTGATACTCGGGAGAAGAAGGAGCAGAACGTTGTTTTTCCAGCCTGCACTTCGGGATTAAACGATCAACCCGGGAAAGTGCCTTTGGGGGAATTTTTAAAGCCAAGTGTTGCACCTCTGAATTCCAAGGAATGTGGGGGCAGCTGGAAAGCACAGCTGGGAGTTCAGAGGGAAAACGGGGAGGTTCCTATTTGGGATACACACTGGGAATTAATGTAATCCAGGTGTTCCATCCCACACCCCCCCACCTTCACCAACACCCCAGCCCAGGGGCACACGGATGGTTTTTGGATCAATCCTGGTTTTTTGAGCCTCCCCCCGGGGGTGTGGAGCCTGGACTTACGCTGGTGACTTTCCTCTTGATGTTCTCCAGGAGGAGCTCCTGGCCCCGGATGAAATAGGGATGCTGGAATTCCGTGTCGTCCTTCTCCGGCTTCACCAGCCCCCCCTGCTCGATGTGCACGACCTTGCGGAAGCCGTCTGGGAAAAGAGGGAACAGGGGGGAATTCAGGGAGCAGAGCCCGGCCCTGGAGCATCCCTGGCGCTCCAGGAGGGCTCTGGAACAACTCTCATCCTAAAAAATGCTGCTTGGAACGAGAGACCCACCTGAAAGTTCCAGGGAAAAGGGGCTGATGTTGGTCCTTGCACGGCCTGAGAAGCCCCTGAGCGAGGGCCCTGCGGCCGATCATGGAATCTGGGAATGGTTTGGGTGGGAAGGGACCTTCAGGATCATCCATTCCCACCCCCTGCCATGGGCAGGGACACCTCCCACCATCCCAGGGGGATCCAACCTGCCCTTGGACACTCCCAGGGATGGGGCAGCCACAGCTCCTCTGGGAATTCCATCCCAGCCCCTCCCCACCCTCCCAGCCAGGAATCCCTTCCCACCATCCCCCCTAACCCTGGGAAGCCATTCCCTGGGTGCTGTCCCTCCAGCCCTTGGCCCCAGTCCCTCTCCAGCTCTCCTGGAGCCCCTTCCGGCCCTGGAAGGGGCTCCAAGGTCTCCCTGGATCCTTCCCTTCTCCAGGGGAACATTCCCAGCTCTCCCAGCCTGGCTCCAGAGCAGAGGGGCTCCAGCCCTGGGAGCAGCTCCGTGTCCCCTCTGGATTCACTCCAGCAGCTCCCCATCCTTCAGGAATGTTGGGAACCCCCAGAGTTGCAGGGGGGTCTCACCCGAGGGGGCAGAGGGGCAGAATTCCCCCTTTCCCTGCTGCCCAGCCCGTGGGATGAGCCCAGGACGGAGCTGATCCTGGTTCTCCCCCGACCCCGAGCGCTCCCAGGGCGGATCCCGGCCGGAAAAGCAGCTCCCTGTGCCCCGGTTGCACTCACACATGTTGAGCTGGCGCACGAAGCTGGCCATGTTGTTGTGTTTGAAGTACTTGGGCAGCACCTCCTTGGCGAACTGGCCCTGGTCAAACACGTGGAAGCTGCTCCCGCTCTGCCCCGGGAAAAAAAAACAAAGGGAAAAGGGACCGTCACCGACCCGCCCGCTCCGGCTTTTCCAGAGGGAAATCCCGCCGTGGGGGAGATCACCCAGCAGGGACTGCACGGGCTTCAAGGCCCCCTCCAACCCCGGATTCCGGAGTCTCCCGGTGCAGGCAGGAACGTGGTTTCCCGGGTTTTTTGGGAGTTGTTCCTGTCGGAGCGTGGACGGGGTTCCAGAGGGGCCTCAACCCCCCCCCGTCAGCTCCTCATGGAGCCGGTGATTCCCAGGTTTCTCATCTCAGCCAAGCCAGGAACCTGCCCTGGGCAACAGGGGCTAAATCCCAGCTCCTTGCACCTATCCCAGAGGAATTCCATGCATCCCCTGGAGCTCCCCGTGTGGAAGAACCGGCCGAGCACAACTCCGGGAGACTCCAAAACCCGGCCCGGGAGGTCAAACAGGCAACAGGGATTAAACTTTAATCTGATAATTCCCCCATTAACTCATCCCAATTAACTTGCTCGGGATAATCCCAGAGTTTGGGATGGCTGTCCAGTGACTGCCAACAACATTCCCAGGAAATGGAGACAACCAGGTGGGTCTGACTCCGAACACAAGGACAATTCCGTGCCCTGCCAGAGCTCTCCATGGCCCAGAGCACCTGGAAGCAGCACCAAGGAGGTTTAATTTTCCCCTGGGATGCAGAAACCTCTCCTCCCTGTGGATTCAAAAAGCTGGGATGGGTTGGAGGCAGCAGGAAGAGCTCCTGCCCCTCCGAATCCCGAGGCATTCCTGGGGCTGGGTGTTGGATCCTCACCACCACCGAGGGGAACCGGTGGCTGTGACTGCCCTGAGAGCAGCTGGGAGCAACATTCCAGCCTATCCATGGATTCCATCGGCAGGAATTGCACCAGGCACAGCAGCAGAAGGAATTTTCCTTCTGGCAAAGCAACACAAGGGCTCCGAAAGTGTTTTACAACCTGGATCCGCTTCCACCTCCCTCCTCCTGCTCCCTCCTCCTGCTCCTGCTCCCTCCTCCCGCTCGGATCATCCCACCCCGCGCTGGCAGAGGACAGAGGAGCCCCCCCAGATGCCAAGGAGTCCCTGCAGGGCCACGAGGAATCCGGGACTTGGGCTCTGATTTCAAAGGGAAGGCGCAGGGCCAGGCCGGACCACCCACGGCACACGGAGGGAAGGGGCTTCCAGGACACCTTTGCTGGGATCCAGAGCATCCCTGGCCGGTTTGCCAACGGCTCTCGGCTCCCTTCATCCCCAGCCAGGTCTCCCAACCTGCTCCTGCCCGGCCCTCTGGATCTCCCCAGGTCTGGCTGCGCCCCAGGAGCCTCTCCGGGCTGGGAATGCGTGGGATGGATTGTCCTCTGGTTTCTGAGGAGCAGCTGAGGGGGCTCAGCCTGGAGAAAAGGGGGACTGGGGGGGCTCCAGGGGGACAGGAGGGTGGATCCAGGTGGGAATCGGGCTCTGCTCCCGGGGAACAAGGGACAGGACGAGGGGAAACGAACCCCGAGTTGTGCCAGGGGAGCTTTATTTGGGATAGTGGAGAAATTCCTGCTGGGAAGGGCTCCATCCCTGGGGTGGACTGAAAGATCCCAGGTCCCTGCTGGAATTAGCTCCCCCCAGCCGAGGTTCAGCTGGCACCACCCCGGGTGTCACCGGTGCCACCCGAGGGACCCTCTCCCAGCATTCCCAAGGGAAGTGGGAACGTGGGCAGGTCTCCTCCCGCAGATGAAAAGCAGCTTCTTCTGCCTCCTTTTGGGACACTTCCCCCCCTGCCCTGTTCCCAGACACATTCCAAGCCCTGGGCCCGGCTCAGGGAGGGTTTTGTCCAAGCCCTGGATCTCCCAGGAGGGGACAGGCCGGAGCCAGGATGACTCGTGGGACACCAGGAGGGCTCTGCCCACCCACGGCCTCCTCCGGGGCTCCACGTCTGCCCTGGCACCACTTCCCGTCCTCCCACGGGCTGGGACACCACGGATTCCTCTGGGGAACAGCACGGGAGACGCTCCAGAAGGATCTGAAACCGGTGCTGAGGATCCCGGGATGGTTTTGGGTGGGAAGGGACTTAAAGCTCACCCAGTGCCACCCCCTGCCGTGGGCGGGGACACTTCCCACCGTCCCAGGGACACTTCCCACCGTCCCAGGGACACTTCCCACCGTCCCAGGGACACTTCCCACCATCCCAGGCTGCTCCAACCTGCCCTTGGACACTCCCAGGGATGGGGCAGCCATGGCCTCGGGGCTCCTTTGGACGTGGGAAGACTCCCAGCCCTCCCAGAATCACGGAATGGTTGAAGTCGGAAAAATCCCTCGGAGCCCTCAGAGCCCCCCCAGCCCCGCCCGTGTCCCCAAGTGCCACCTCCCCAGGGATGCTCCATCCCCCCCCAGGGATGGGGATCCAGGGCTGGGCAGCCCTTCCCAGCAGGGATTTTCCCAAGATCCCAAATAAACCTCCCCTGGCACAGCTTGGGGCCGTTTCCCCTCGTCCTGTCCCTGTTCCCTGGGAGCAGAGCCCGATCCCACCTGGATCCACCCTCCTGTCCCCCTGGATTCCCTCTGAGCCCCCTTTTCTCCAGGCTGAGCCCCCCCAGCTCCCTCAGCCCCTCCTGGTGCTCCAGACCCTTCCCAGCTCTGTTCACCCTCCATCCAGCTCTGGAATTTTTGTTGCCTCAACCTCCAGGTCCCTCCAGGCCTGACCAGGAACAACCTTGGAGCCGTTTGCTGGGTTATAAAACCATCATTATTTCTGTGATCCCAGTGAAAAGGTGGTTTTTTCCAATCCCTGGAATTGTCCCAGGCTAGGTTGGAGCATCCTGGGACAGTGGGAGGTGTCCCTGGGACAGTGGGAGGTGTCCCTGGATGGGATTGAAGGTCCCTTCCCACCCCAGGATTCCAGGATTCTGTGACTCCAAGAACATCAAAGCTGCCCATGGGACAAGATCCCTCTGCACCCTCCTGGCAGGAGCATTCCCAGAGCTTCCAGAGCCACCCAGACCATCCCAGCTCCTCCAGCTCTGCAATTCCAGAGGGACACTTTCCACTGCATCAATTCCCCCCCCCTCCCCCATTCCCAAAATCCCACTTCCCAACTATCCCCTCAAATCTCCGGCTTTTTGGGACAACAAATTACTCCAGGCTGTGAAATAAGCAGGAAAAGCCAGGCTTTGGAGCAACAAATCAAAGGTTCGAGCCTGTTTTCCAACTGTTCCGGCACTGGGAATGGTGATCCCAGACCCGGATCTGTGGGAGATCCAGAGGGAGGGAGAGCAGCAAACGGTGACTCCGCTGAAAACCCGAGTCCTGGTGGAGTCACAGCGGGACGTGGAGCCCTTCCAGGCATCCCCCCCCAAAAAAAACCCCCACAGCCCTTGGGATGATGGAAAAATCCGTGTTTGTTTCCAAAAACCTCGTGCTGGATTCGTGGGAGATTGGGCTGATAAATCCCACGGTTAAAGTGAGCACTGAATCAAATCTGTAATTAAATCCATCATTAAATCCAGAATTAAGATCAGAACCGGGAGAACCTTCGGGGCTACACCCGGATATCGGGAAAGCCACAACGAACCAAAAAAGGGAATAAAGGAATAAAAGCAGCAGGAATTCCTGGCTGCACCAGCGTGGGAGAGGAGGATGATCCCTGTGGAATTCCCTGATGTCCCGGCGGTGACGGATCAGACCTCTCCAACAATTCGGTTCCCTGACGGGGAACGAGGGACAGGACGAGGGGAAAGTTGTGCCAGGGGAGGTTTATTTGGGATATTGGGAAAAATCCCTGCTGGGAAGGGCTGCCCAGCCCTGGATCCCCATCCCTGGGGGGGGATGGAGCATCCCTGGGGAGGTGGCACTTGGGGACACGGGCAGGGCTGGGGGGACCTGGTGGGCTCAGGGGGGGGTTTTCCTTTGGGTTCCTCCTCTGGCAAAGGGGCCGTGGATGCCCCAGAGGTGTCCTGAGGTGACCATCCCGGGGGGATTGGGAAGGAAAGAGGGATCATGGAGGGGCTGGAGCGTGGCCAGGGATGGGAACGGGGCTGGGAAGGGTCTGGAGAACTCCTGAGGGAGCTGGGGGGGCTCAGCCTGGAGAAAAGGGGGTTCAGAGGGAATCCAGGGGGACAGGAGGCACCAAGTTGGAATTCCAAAGGGAATAACGGGAAGGGAAGGCCCAGCCTGGGAAAAATGCGGGAAAAGAGCAGGAGAGAAGGAAGTTCAGGTGAAATTAAAGGAAATTAAGTCAAAATTCCATGGGTTTTCCAAGTGAAAGGGAAAACTGGCTGTGCTGGGAGTGGGGGCAGAGCACTGGGATCCTCCCGGGATGGGGAGCCCTGAGCTGAGGGAAAAGGGAGGAATCTCCTGAGCCTGGGAAAAAAAAAAAGGAAGGGAATTCCTTCAGAGAGAGAAAAAAAGGCAGGGAATTCCCTGAGCTAAAAAAAAAAAAAAAGGGAATCCTCTAAGCCTAGAAAAAGGCAGGGAATGTCCTAACCTTAGAACAAGGCAGGGAATTCCTTAAACCCGGAAAAAGGCAGGGAATTCCCTAAGATAGAACAAGGCAGGGAATTCCCTAAGGTAGAGAAAGGAAGGGAATGCCCTGAACCTAAAAAAAGCAGGGAATTCATCAAAGGCAGGAAAAAAAAGCAGGGAATTCTCTAAGCTGGAAAAAAGCAGGGAATGCCCCAAATCTAGGAAAAGGCAGGGAATTCCCTAAAGAGGGAAAAAGGAAGGGAATCCTCTAAGCCCAGAAAAAAGGCAGGGAATGTCCTAAATGTAGGAAAAGGCAGGGAATCCCTTAAACAGAGGGAAAGGCAAGGAATGTCCTTAAACCCAGAAAAAGGGCAGGGAATTCCTTAAACCCAGAAAAAGGCAGGGAATTCCTTAAACCCAGAAAAAGGCAGGGAATTCCTCAAACCTAGAAAAGGGCAGGGAATTCCCTAAACTAGGGAATGCCCTAAACAGAGAAAAAGGCAGAAAATGTCTGTAAACCCAGAAAAAAGCAGGGAATTCCACAAAGCCAGGACAAGGCAGGGAATTCCACAAAGCCAGGACAAGGCAGGGAATTCCCAGCCCTGGGCCCCCGGAGGGGCCAAGGGCACAAAAATAGGGAAAAGTGTTGGGATTTACCAGGATAAAGCCTCTTCCTGAGGCTGCTCCAGACTCCTTCCAGGGCCTAGAGGAGCTGGAGAGGGACTGGGGCCAAGGGCTGGAGGGACAGCACCCAGGGAATGGCTTCCCAGGGTTAGGGGGGATAGTGGGAAGGGATTCCTGGCTGGGAGGGTGGGGAGGGGCTGGGATGGAATTCCCAGAGCAGCTGTGGCTGCCCCTGGATCCCTGGGAGTGTCCCAGGGCAGGTTGGATCCCCCTGGGATGGTGGGAGGTGTCCCACTACAGGGGGGAAGCTGGATGGGGATTAAGATCCTTTCCCACCCAAACCCATTCCAGGATTCCAGAGAAAGCACCAACAGGTCTGAAAGCACGAGGAAAACACACCTGGAACCTCCTGGAGCCCTTTGGAAAACAGCTCCGAGGCTGCTCCAGACCCAGGGCAGAGGCCTTGGGTGCTTTCCCGCAGGAATTCCGGCCTCTGGGATCAGCAAATCCCGGAGTTTCCGCAGGGAAAAGCTGCACGGGAGGGGACAGGGTGGGATCTGGGGATGCTGGGACTCGACAGACCTGGAAAACCTCCCTGTGCTCCAGGGGTGACCCACCAGCTCTGCCTGGAGGGGAGGGAGAAGCCCCAAAGCCGAGGAAATCTGGGAAAAAAAAAGGGAGCCGAGGATTCCCAAGGAAAAGCTGACCAACCTTCCCGCAAACTGTGGGGTTTCCAAAGCCTTTCCCGCTCCTTTCCCTCCCCCTCAAGTCGATTTTCCTGCTTTCCACCGACTGGGATTTGCCTCAAAAGCCCCCAAAAGCTCCTTTTCCTCACTGCAGCCGCCGGGAAATCCAGACTCCTGGATCCCTGTGGCTCCGTCTTTCCACCTGTTTCCCAAGGAAACGGAAAGGAAGGAATGAAGACCAAGCTGGAATAACCCCCCCGGGGCAGGCTGGGAACCAACCCCTCTGCTCTGGGGTCACACCCTGAACCAACACGAGGAAAAAGGACTGAACCCTTCCAGGGAAAAGCGAACTTTTCCTGGGATTTCCAGAGATCCAGGCTCCCAGGAGGTGGATTTGCAGCCCCAGGGATAAAGGAGGGGCTGGGAGAGCCGAGCCAGGAGGACTCTGCTCCCCCCCCAGGGGAAAACAATCCACGTTTAGGGCTTAATAACTATAAATTTTAAGAGTTTTATCTGTTCAAACCCCCCCCCTTCCTGAGCCCCTGCCAAGGCCTGGAGGATCCATCCGTAAAAACAACGGGATAAAGGAGCTGGAAAACCTCCTTATCCCTCAGAGTGGCACTCCCTGGGATGGAAAAGCAGCGGATGAGTCTCCCTATCCCACCTTTTCCCCCCTCACCCACAGGAGCTCTGCCCAAACCAAACCAGCAGCCCCAGAGCTGGGTGGGAATTCCAAAGGGAGGGATGGAAGGGTCGGGAATCCCCTCTGGACACCAGCACCATGATTGGGAGGCTTGGAAAAATCCTTTGGGAAACGAGAGATGGAAAGGATTTGGCGACTTTCTTTCCCTGGAGACACGAGGAAAGGCTATTTATGGAATCCTGGAATGGTTTGGGATGGGAGGGAGCTCAAGGATCATCCATTCCCACCCCCTGCCACGGGCAGGGACACCTCCCACTATCCCAGGGTGATCCAACCTGCCCTTGGACACTCCCAGGGATGGGGCAGCCACAGCTCCTCTGGGAATTCCATCCCAGCCCCTCCCCACCCTCCCAGCCAGGAATCCCTTCCCACTATCCCACCTAACCCTGGGAAGCCATTCCCTGGGTGCTGTCCCTCCAGCCCTTGGCCCCAGTCCCTCTCCAGCTCTCCTGGAGCCCCTTCAGGCCCTGGAAGGGGCTCCAAGGTCTCCCTGGATCCTTCCCCCTTCTCCAGGTGAACATTCCCAGCTCTCCCAGCCTGGCTCCAGAGCAGAGGGGCTCCAGCCCCGGGAGCAGCTCCGTGTCCCCTCTGGATTCCCTCCAGCAGCTCCCCGTCCTTCAGGAATGCTGGGAAGCCCCAGAGCTGCAGGTTGGAAGTTCCTCAGCTCCTTTTTTCTCCGGGGTTCCAAGAGGGGAATCCTTGAACCCTTTTCCCACTCCCCTGGGACTTCCCCTGCCTGCCAGGACTTCCCAAACGTGATGGAAAAGCGGCCTGGAAACTCCAGCAGCCAATTCCCTCAGGAGCCTGGGATGCACCTCAGCAGGTCCCACGGACTGATCACGGAATCCTGGAATGGTTTGGGTGGGAAGGGATCTTAAAGATCATCCAGTCCCATGGGCAGGGACACCTCCCACCATCCCAGGGGGATCCAACCTGGCCTGGGACACTTCCAGGGATGGGGCAGCCACAGCTCCTCTGGGAATTCCATCCCAGCCCCTCCCCACCCTCCCAGCCAGGAATCCCTTCCCACTATCCCACCTAACCCTGGGAAGCCATTCCCTGGGTGCTGTTCCTCCAGCCCTTGTCCCAAGTTCCTCTCCTGGAGCCATTTAGGCCCTGGAAGGGGCTCCAAGGTCTCGCTGGATCCTTCCCTTCTCCAGGGGAACATTCCCAGCTCTCCCAATCCCTTCTCCCTACAACGACCCCGCTGATTCCCATCGCCCCCCCCCCAAAAATTCCCATTCCTGCCATTCCCAAACCTCCACCGGCAACCCCACGCGAGTCACATAAACCCACAACCGGATCTGCCGAGATCCAAAAAAACCCCCCCAAAAACCTCGGGAAAATAAAATAAAAAACCCACCACCCTCCCCCATCCCATTCCCAGCCGTGTTTATTTTTTTTTTGCTCCTTATCTCTCCCACCTTTTTCGCTATCGGGAGCGGCAGCTCCGCTATCTGGAGCCGCACGCGCGGCCTGTGAGGGGGGGGGGGGATATTAAATAATTAGAGGGTTAAAAAGCAAGGGAATGAGGACAGAAATAAGGATTTAAGTGAGGAATCGCGGCGGGAATCGCCAGGGCCTCGGCACCGGGGGCCAAGTCCCGGGGCCTCGGCTTTTTAAGGTTTTTTTTTTTTGGGGGGGGACACTCACGGGGCTCCAGCAGATGAGAGAGTCGGTGTCGGGATCCTCCAGGAGCGTCCACAGCTTGGTGAGGAAGGCGGGCACGTTGCAGGGGCCGCCGCCGGGGCCCGCTCCCCCCGCCGCCGCCGCGCCGGGGCCATCCATGGCCGCGCAGCCGAGCCGTGTGGGGATCGTTTGGGGGGCGAAGGGCAGGGGGTTTAAGGGGGTTAAAAGGGGCGGGAAGGCGCGGGCGGGGAAGGAGCGGAGGGGCCCGCGGGGCGCGGCATGGCCGCCGCCATCTTGGGGGGGGAGCGCTGTGAGGGAGAGGGGCGGGGCCGAGGCGGAAGGAGGGGAGGGCGCGTGCGCGGACACGCCCAGGCGGGGCGGAGGACACGCCCACCCGGCGCGAGGCCCCGCCCTCCTCCCGTAGAGGGCAACGAAAAGGGGGGACACGCCCACCTGCTTTGCATGGCCGCGCCCACTTCGCGGGGGCGGGGCTCCGGCAGAGGGAACGCCCCCGTAGTGGAGAGGACACGCCCCCTCCTGCGACTGTACACTGGCAGGGTGTGGGTGGGTTTTTTTCCGCAGGGGAACGCCCGCTGAGGGGATGGACACGCCCACTGATGTGAAAGGACACGCCCCCTGCCCATTCCTTGCAGTGCCTGGGTGGGGTTCTGGGGTGGGGACGCGCCCCCTGCCTTTCATGGCCACGCCCCCTGGCCGCAATCTAAATAGGCTGGGCGGAGATTGAGCTCGCCCACCGATGCGGAAGGACAGGAGGACACGCCCCCTGTCTACTGTGTGGGTGGGGCTCTAGGGCGGGGACACGCCCCCTTGCCTGGTCTCCTCAGGCAGCCTGACTAAATGGGCTGGCTGGGGCTTCCACAAGGAAACGCCCCCTCAAGGCCTGGACCACGCCCCCCACGGCAGGAGGACAAGCCCATGCTGATCGCTGGCAGCACCTGAGTGCTGCCCTGCCCTGGCCACGCCCCTTCTACAACTGGCCACGCCTCCTAGCCTCTCTGGCCTAAGGAGGGTGGGAGGGGTCATTGCAAGGGAACGCCCACTAATGGCCAGACACGCCCCCTCATTAATCTGGACACGCCCCCTGCGGCCAGTGAAACATCCCCCTGCTCACAAAACCACGCCCCCCTGGCCATTGTCGGCACTGTCTGGGCGGGGCTCTAGCACGGAAACGCCCCCTTAGGGTCCGGTCACGCCCCTTTGTCTCACACGGCCACACCCGTGCCCATATTTGGCAGTGTCTGGGCGGGGCTTTCACACGGCCACGCCCCAAAACCAACCTGGCCACGACCACTGCTCATAACCGACAGCGTGTGGGCGGGTCTCTATGCAGGACACGCCTCCCTCGGGCCTAGCCACGCCCCTCGCCTGCTGGCGGCCCCGCCTCAGGGGACTCCCGCCGTGCGCATGCGCCGAACCCGCCGCTCCCCTTCTAGGCCACGCCCCTTTCCCGCCGCCAGCCCTACCCTGGCGTGGCTCCCGCCTCGCGCATGCGCAGAGGCGGCCTTGAAGCCAGGACCGCGCATGCGCACTGTTCTCCAACTCCCCTCTGATGGTTCTTCCGCGTCCCCTTTAACCCCCCCCGTCCCGTCCCCCCCGTTATTGCCCCCCCCCTTTCATCACTCCCGGCCCCGGGACCACCGAACCCCCCCGCCCGCCGTGTCTGTGGGGGCCGCTGGGGGCGGAAGCGGCGCGAGGCGGGGGCGTGTCGTGCCCCCTGACCCTGCCCACGTGGTTCGGCGCACGCGGGGCCGCGGGACATGGAGCAGGTCCGGGGGGCCCGGGGGGGGGGCTGTTGCCATGGGAACGGGGCTGTGGGCACGCCAGGGGGGTGCTCGGCACCCGGGGGGACACACGCGGCAATGGGGGGGCCGGTCGGGCCCGTCCTGCTGGGGGGGGACACGGGAATGGGGGGTGGGGGGTGCGGGCCGAGGGGGGCACTGGGGGGGGTCCCAGGAGCGGGGGGGGCTCGACCCCGGTGTGAGGGACCCGCGGTGCCCCGTCTCCGGATGGGGGGACCCGGCAATATGGGGGGGGACCGGCCCTGTCCGGGGTGGGGGCACCCGGCAATGGGGGGGGGGGGATGTTCAGTTTTGGAGGGGGGGACCCAGCAGTGGAGGGGGGGGGTCTGGCTCGGTCCTGGGTGGGGGCACAGGGCCGTGGGGAGGGGGCTGGTCCTTGGGGGGGACACCCGGCAGTGCGGGGGTGTCTGCTGGGATCCGGCAGTGTCGGGGAAGGGGGGTCTGCCCCGCTCCTGGATGGGAGGGGGACGTGGCACTGGGGAGGGGGGGGGATCGGATCCCAATCCCATCGGGACGACCAGAGAGCGTGGGGGGGGGGGTCTGGCCCCGATGGGGGGACCCACAGCGAGAGGGGGGGGCTCAGACCCAATCCCAGTAAAGAGACCGGGCAAGGGGGGGGTCAGACCCTGTCCCAGCCCAGCGAGGGCACCCAGGCCGGGCCGTGTGGCCCCACCACGATCGGGGGTCTCCACCACGATTGGGGGTCTCTGCCGTGGTCAGGGGTCTCCACCGTGGTCAGGGGTCTCCACCGTGACCCCCCCACGCTGTTCTCTCCCAGACCAGCCCCCCCGAGGTCAGTGAGGAGCTGACAGACAGTGAGGAGAGCGAGGAAAGCGTCTACTCGGGGCTGGAGGACTCGGGCAGCGACAGCAGCGACCCCGAGGAGGAGGAGGAAGAAGAGGACGAAGATGAAGGCCCCGGCAGTGATTCCCCCCCCAAACCACAAGTAAGGGCTCTGTGACCCTTTAATTCCCCCCCTGGATTTGGGAGGGGGGCTCTCTGCTCTCTGTTTCGAGGGGGGTGAGGACCAGCATCTCCTGGTGCTGAGGGACAGGCGGCTCTGGGGGTCCCATCCCACCTCCCCAAAAACACAGGCAGGGAGAATCCAAGTGCTGATTCCAGCCCTGCTCCAGGCACCTCTTCTCCTGGAGGAGGAGGAGGAGGGGGTGTGAGGAAGGGTCTGTGCCCAGGGTTGGTGCCTCTTCCCAAGTTGGGAACTGTGGAGGAAAAGCCAAATCAAACCTTCCAGGGCCTGAAGGGGCTCCAGGAGAGCTGGAGAGGGACTGGGGCCAAGGGCTGGAGGGACAGCACCCAGGGAATGGCTTCCCAGGGTTAGGTGGGATAGTGGGAAGGGATTCCTGGCTGGGAGGGTGGGGAGGGGCCGGGATGGAATTCCCAGAGGAGCTGTGGCTGCCCAATCCCTGGGAGTGTCCCAGACCAGGTTGGATCACCCTGGGAAGGTGAGGAAGGGTGTGTGAGGGAAGCTCTTCCCGTGCCAGCCTCCCCATTCCTGCCCTGTTGGCAGCTCTGCCGGCTCCAGGATAAACGGGATAAATTCCCTTTGGCCCCCAGGGAGGGAAATGTCGGGCTCTTGACGTGCCCTGGAGGGGCTGGAATTCCCTCTCCCGCCCTCAGGAGCTCGGCTCCTGCAGCAGCACAGCTCAGGGACACACCAGGACACCAGGACAGAGTCAGAATCCCGGGAATTGCTGAGCTTGGATCCTCCAGGATCCAGGTCTGGCAGCACAGTCCCAGCTCAGCGGGGGCTTTGTCCTGCTCCGGGCTTTGCCTGGGAAGATTCTGGCTCGGATCCTCTTCATTCCAGGCTCAAACTCGAGCCCTGTCTTGGTGCTGCCACGTCCTGTCCCTCCGGAGATCCCGAGGGATCCCACGGGGATCGTCCCTCGTAGAGATCCCCGTTTCCCTGGGGGTGGAAACCTCTTCAAGTGCAGCCAAGGACGAGCTCAAATGTGGAGTTCAAGCCCTAAAAGTGCCACTGGTCCGAGAGGCCGGTTGGGATCTAATCCAGAAGGAATTCTGTGGCTTCACATCCCAGCTCTTTTTTCCAAGCCTGGCCTGGGGTTTGTCCCAGAGTGGGGAGGCACTGGGAGAGCTGGAATTGCTGCAGGTTGGTGTTCCCACGTCCTGAGGGGAGTGGAGGAGGGAAGGGCCCGGATTGCAGTTCAGGCTGGAGCTGGCAGGGCTGGGAATTTGGGAATCCAGACCCTTCCCAGCTGAGGCAAATAAGTCAGGAAGTTCCACAGCCTTTTCCTCATCTTTTGTCCCTGTTTCCCTCTCCATCCCATAAAGGATGGAGCTTCCCCTTGTCCCCCCTTTTTGTTGCCAATGGATTCAGAGAAACACATTCAGTTGTGTCGCAGCAGCATCCAGAATAATTCCAGCTGGGATTTGGCCTTTCCCATTTTCTCCCTGGCCAACCTCGAGACATCCTTTTCATCCTGAATTTCTGCCCTCCTTCCAAAGGTCATAAAGCCCCTGTTCCCAGGGATCCCACAGCATTCCAGAGCTGTTCCCAGGGATCCCACACCACTCCAGGGCTGTTCCCAGGGATCCCACAGCATTCCAGGGCTGTTCCCAGTGTTCCCACACCACTCCAGAGCTGTTCCCAGGGATCCCACACCACTCCAGAGCTGTTCCCAGGGATCCCACACCACTCCAGGGCTGTTCCCAGGGATCCCACACCATTCCAGGGCTGTTCCCAGACATCCCACACCACTCCAGGGCTGTTCCCAGGGATTCCAAACCATTCCAGAGCTGTTCCCAGGGATCCCACAGCATTCCAGGGCTGTTCCCAGGGATCCCACAGCATTCCAGAGCTGTTCCCAGGGATCCCACACTACTCCAGGGCTGTTCCCAGGGATCCCACACCACTCCAGAGCTGTTCCCAGGGATCCCACACCACTCCAGGGCTGTTCCCAGGGATCCCACAGCATTCCAGGGCTGTTCCCAGGGATCCCACACCACCCCAGGGCTGTTCCCAGGGATCCCACAGCATTCCAGGGCTGTTCACAAGGATCCCACAGCATTCCAGGGCTGTTCCCAGAGATCCCACACCACCCCAGGGCTGTTCCCAGGGATCTCACAGCATTCCAGGGCTGTTCACAAGGATCCCACAGCATTCCAGGGCTGTTCCCAGGTATCCCACACCATTCCAAAGCTGTTCCCAGGGATCCCACAGCATTCCAGGGCTGTTCCCAGAGATCCCACACCACCCCAGGGCTGATCCCAGTGTTCCCACAGCATTCCAGAGCTGTTCCCAGGGATCCCACAGCATTCCAGGGCTGTTCCCAGGGATCCCACACAGGGTTTTCCCAGGGACCCCAGCATTCCAAGGGGCTGTTCCCAGGGATCCCACAGCATTCCAGGGCTGTTCCCAGGGATCCCACACCACTCCAGAGCTGTTCCCAGGGATCCCACA